TGACACTTCTTTGTAGAGTCCAAGTTCAACTCCAAGAGCCATTTCTTTTGTGCATCTTATTGTCCAGTGTACTGTTACTGCTGGGTGCATTTCTCCCCCTGGGGCACAGTTGTTCAGAACCTACTTATGTGAAACCATGTTGAGTCTCTTGTCTCTGAGGTTCTGTAGCATGGCTACAGTGCTGGTTACATGTTTACTGCGCCGTCCACCCCCTCTGGCGCCCAGTGACTCTCTAAGCTGTCGCAATGAAGATGAGGCTCATTCATGCGTGTCTTCCCTAGAGCACGCAGGAGAACAGGAGCCCCCTGTTTGTTTTCTGGGCCTGTTGAGCTTACCTTTCAGAATTTTTTTTTTTTTTTTTTTTGACAGGCAGAGTGGATAGTGAGAGAGAGAGAGAGACAGAGAGAAAGGTCTTCCTTTTGCCGTTGGTTCACCCTCCAATGGCCGCCGCGGCCGGCGCGCTGCGGCCGGCGCACCGCGCTGATCCGATGGCAGGAGCCAGGAGCCAGGTGCTTTTCCTGGTCTCCCCATGGGGTGCAGGGCCCAAGCACCTGGGCCATCCTCCACTGCACTCCCTGGCCACAGCAGAGGGCTGGCCTGGAAGAGGGGCAACCGGGACAGAATCCGGCGCCCCGACCGGGACTAGAACCCGGTGTGCCGGCGCCGCTAGGCGGAGGATTAGCCTAGTGAGCCACGGCGCCGGCCCAGAATTTGTTTTTAAGGACTTTTTACAATTTATTTAAAAGGCAGAGTTACAAAGAGAGAGGAAGATACAGAGAGAAAGAGAGAGGTCTTCCATCTACTGGTTCACTCCCAGATGGTCACAATGGCTGGAGCTGGGTTGATCTGAAGCCAGGAGCCAGGAGCTTCCTCTGGGTCTCCCACATGCGTGCGGGGACCCAAAGACTTAGGCCATCTTCCACTGCTTTCCCAGGCCATAGCAGTGATCTGGATCAGAATTAGAGGAGCCGGGACTTGAACCGGTGCCCATATGGGATGCCGGCACTGCAGGCAGCAGCTTTACCCGCTATGCCACAGCACCGGCCCCACCTTTCAGAATTTGCTAGTGGCGATACAGCATCTTCCAGTCGTGCCTCCTCTGGGCCTGTTGAGGTGGCGCTCACTGCAGTCCTGGAACGGGAGCCCTTTCATTGCTGACCGCACTCCTGCCTTCCACAAGCCACCAACAGCAGGAGCGAGCGCTGGTGAAGATGTCTCTGCAAGGAGAGAGAAGAGTAGCCCGCCCCTAGGAGAAGTAGCCTTCCTGGTCAGGGCCAGTGTACGGCAGGGCCCGGGAGAGCATGATGTGGCCGCATGCGCAGCAGGCAAGAGAGGCCCATGATGGGACAGTCTATTGGTGTTTGGTCTGGAAAGCCATCCTCCAAGGTCTGCCTGGCAGCACACAGCCCAGCACCTGCAGGAATAGTGTCACCTGTCCCAGGGGCCCTACCACCATGCCTGCCATCCACAGGTGTTGTAATAGACAGGAGGCAGCTCCGCAGCCAAAACCCAGAGGGACAGGGACCTGTACCAGCGACTCAAGCCCAAGGCTTGGGGGTGAACGTTCAGTCGTCCACAGCCCTGAACACAGCCTTGTGTTTAATGTGACAGTCACCCAAATCATCATGTCCACATGGGGCACGTGTTCCACCTGGGGTGATCCCACACTGCCTGGGCCACCAGGAGTGGGCTGCTTGCCAGCCACCTGCCTCAAATGAGGGCCCAACCACTAGTGTCTGAGAGGACCTCAAAGGTATGAGTGCCAGAGCTCCTCGGGACCCCACGTTGACCGTTGACCCCACGTTTGCCATTGAAGGTCAGGCGGCACCTTGAAGGAGAACAGTGAAAATGGGGGTTCATATGTATCTGGGCCTGGACCGGTGTTCAGGAGCACAGTGCCAGGCCCCGAGAAGGACTCACAGATATATAGGAGGGCCATCCAAAGTGCTGGGTACAGGTCACGGCCAAGGCTTTGTGGGCCCAGTACTGCCCGTCTCTTGCACAGAGGCTGGTGGTCGGGGCAGGGAAGCCATACAAGCTCATTTGTGGTGAGTCGTGCAATCTGCAGGCTCCAAGATCGTTCAAGGGCTGCCCACAGTAAGTCTTCTGATCAGGCAGCTCCCAAAAAAACAAGATGTGAGTGTGTGGGTGGGGGTGGGGGGCAGTAGGGGCCAACAGGGCAATGATGGCAGTGTCCAGAAAGCATCAGCCAAAAATAGATTTAAGGCAGGTGAGAAGCATGCTCCGAGGAGTAAAATCTGTACCCTTGCTTTACTTTTTTTTTTTTTTTTAAGATTTATTTATTTATTTGGAAGAGTTACAGAGAGGCAGAGGCAGAGAGAGAGAATGAGGTCATCTATCTGCTGGTTCACTCCCAAAATGGCTGCAATGGCGAAGCTGAGCTGATCTGAAGTCAGGAGTCATGGGCTTCTTCTGGGTCTCCCATGTGGGTGCAGGGGCCCAAAAACTTGGGCCATCTTCTACTGCCTTCCCAGGCCATTAGCAGGGAGATGGATCAGAAGTGGAGCAGCCAGGACTCGAACCAGCACCCATATGGGATGCCAGCACTGCAGGTGGTGACTTTACCTGCTCTGCCACAGCTCCGGCCCCTACCCTTGGTTTATAACAACAGGAAATGACCCTGGCACAGGCAGCCATGGTGGCAGAAGCTCTGCTGGACTTCAGCAGAGCAGAGCCAAGCCCAATCGACAAAGGGTCCACAGAAAACCGTTCTCTGCAGAGAGCATGTGGGGAGTGACTGTGAGCCCGGCACGGCTGTGGCAGGGATGCCGACAATCCCCGTGAGCACAGAAGCGTGGCTCCGAGACAGTGTCAGTTCTAACTGAAGAAACAGAAAAGTGACATTGGACTTCACGAGGTGGCCAACGCTAAGGGCAAACTAGAAACAAGGAGAGAGGCAAAGAAGTGCCTCCCTGTTCGACTGGGCCAGTAAGGCTGGAGCAGAGATCCAGAGGGCGGTGGGAATATTGACATGTCGTGGGAAAATGTGAGCGGGCTTAGCACCTGCTCCATTTTCATTCAAATCCTTCACCCTGATGGTTGGACATGCGTGCCCAGTTAGAGTGGTTACCCATGAGCAGCTTGGGTGAGGCACGTTCTGGAGACAAGGTGTCCCATTATACAGAGGCACACGTGAGGCTGATGTCTGGCATGGCACTGGCCAGGAGCCCCTCCACCCCAGCCTCAGTAGCCCGGACCCCACATAATCCTACCTTTGGCTGCACCTTTGTCTTGAGACCCCTGGAAGACAGGGTCTCCCCCCACCCCCAGCAGCTTCCTGGGCCCTTGTCTGTGAAGGGGTCCCAGGCAGTGTCCCAGCAGCTGGCTGCTAAGGCAGAGATCACCTCCTAACCCAGGAGCTGCTGGTTGTGCCCCCACCACCACCATGGGACCTGCAGGATGCCCTCCCTCAAGTCACCCTTCCAGGAGGGCTGCAGAGGGCTCGGGGTCCAAGGGCACAGCGCACCAGGAGGGAAGCCGAGCTCAGAATACGAGGTCCACCCATGATTTACAAGCCCTGAGTAGAACCTGGCTCCCTGCCCCAGAAGCCATGAACCACCTTCCTCTCCGTGGCTCTGCGCGGGAAAGACCCTCACCACTCTGATCTCCTTGGTTTTCCCCTTCTGCCAAACAGATCGTGGGCTCAGCAGAGAGCGCAACCGAGACTTCTAAGTTCTCACTCCTCAGCTCTAGCCACAGCCAATGCTAGCGCAACCTGGCTCTGGTCAGGTGCCTGGCTGTCTCCCTGTTCTCTCAGGCTGGTCCTGTTGAGCATAATAATCACGAGGAATTCATGGGAGTGCAGACTACAAGGAAATAAAAGCAGAGGGAGAATCCACTTTGAACCTCTTAGGACATGTGTTCAGTTGGACAAGGGGAAAATTGATGTCTTTGTAGGTCAAGTGCAAGCAAATATTGGCAATTTCACGCGACTTGGGCTGGCTCAGGAATCCTTCCATTCTGGATTTTCTGACTTCTTGCCTGAGGTTAAACTATTCCTGCTCTTCTTCCCCAGTGTCTCGCACTGTGCTTCCCAGTCCCACCCTCTGGAATATGTCCGTTAACATGTCCTATATCGGAGTATCTGGGTTTAATCCCTGACTCTGGCTCCTGACTCCAGCTTCCTGCTACTGCAGACACTGAGAAGCAGTAGCTCATGTAGTCAGCTTCCTGCCACCCACACGGGAGACCTGAGTTGAGTTTGCAGCTCCTGACCTCGTTCTCAGCCCAGCCACTAGCCATTTCAGGCATTTGGGGAAGGAACCAGGGGTTGGGAGTGTGCCCATTCTCCCTCCCTCCCTCTCTCTCTCTCCCTCTCTCTCATTGTGTGTATGTGTGCGTGTGTCTCAAATGAATTTGTTAAAAATTCCTACAAATTCCATCATCTATCCTGAAGCCAGTTGAGCCCCCACTAATTCCTCTAGCTAATCCAACTTCAACCCACAAGCATTCTTTGATCACTGAGGAAACCATTGTGGCCACAAGGGCAGTATAAGTATGTCCTAGCCTTTGAGGATTCATAGTCCAGGAAGAAATGGAAACTGTAAAAGAACATAATTAGTCTGGTGACAAAAATACCTGCAACCTGATAAGGAGAATTGAGGAGCTTCCTGCTTAGAGGAAGATTTCCAACAAGAATTAACCTTTGGAACTTGAACAAACCAGGGAGGGAGAGGTATCGCAGGCCAGCACAATGCATAATGTGGTGTCCAGAGTCTGAAAGAAGACTGAACATTCTGGAAAGAGCCAAGAACTCGATAGGGCAGAATCGTCGGCTACCAAGCCCTCCGAGGAAAGTGGCGTCAGAACTTGAGGTGTGTGACATTTTCTTCCTTTATTGTATAGGAAATCACAGCATTTTTTCTAACCAGGAAAGTGACATGATGTTTGTTTTAGAAGTATAATTTTCCAAAATTCAGGAGTACTCCTTTTCTTCCTGTGATAAGAAGTGAAGAAGCAAACAAAATGAGTAGGATGTGTAGGCTTTAAAAAGTTTTATTGTATTTTGTATTTACATAAGAAATACAGATTCATATTAAGCACTTCTAGCATTGTGAAAACATACTCTAGAAATCAAATGCCCCCTGTAATCCAATTATAGATTATTTTACACATATTTACATAACTTTCTCCACACCAGTAAATGTAGAGCTACCTCATTCTTTTCAGTGGCATGCAGTGTTCTGTTGCACTAAGGTACTGTAGTTTATTGATTTGTCTGAATTTCATGGACATTTAGAATGTTTTCAGTTTTTCGTGATTATAAATAATACTGGAATGAACATCTTTTTGCATAAACCTTTACAAACTTGTACAGGTATTTCTGTAGGGTACCTTTTTAGAAATCCTTCCAGGAACTGATGTAAAAGGAATAATTATTTTTCATTTTAATAGATATTGCCAAAGTGCCAATTATAAGGTTATACCAATGTCTATGCCAGCAGCAGTGAATGAGTATGTGGTCCCCAAATTCCCCTGGAGGGCGCAGTTTATAGGCAGTCGGTTCTTATCAGAGAGCTTGCAGAACCTCGGGCCTGTTCGTTCAGTCCTGTGAATGTCTGTAGTTCACACGCTTGTCTGTTATCTGATAAATTCACATCAATAGCAGCTCGAAGGTTTGCCAAAACAAGCCTACACTTATGCCTACTCTTGGGCCATTCCAAGAGTGCTTTCCTTCCCATGAGATCTTTCAGCTTCTGATACCTAGTGGGAATGCAGTAGAATGGGACAGGTTCCAGTAAGATAAAAATTATATGATCAGAATTATCACGGAAGAGATCATGGTGGGCAATCCCTTCGTAATGGCACCACTCACTCTGCACAAAGTCGGGAGACAAAATAAAGATGGATTTATAGCTTTTCTCAATGCAATCGATGATATTTTCAGTCATGCTCTTGCCAGGGTCAAAGTTTCTCTCATAAATGCAAATCAAGACAGAACCATCTTCTTTCTCTAGACTGGGGATCAATGCACTCTTCACCCAGAGAGAATCACGTTCACTATATGCAATGAAGGCATGGAACTGGACATTTCTCCTGAGTTGTTCTTGGGTTGCTTCCCCAACCCTGAGACGTATTTGTATCCATTGACCTAGCATCCTGAGATACCAGGGCAGGTCCAGGCAGAGGCAGCTAAAGGCCACAGCCATCCCCAGAACTAGCACAATAGCCACAATGGTGGCAATTAACAGAGCGGTGTTGCAAGATAATTCGGGAAGGTAAACATCCTTTAGCTGAGTGCCCTTTAGATTCAAAGGGTATTCACAGAGGTACGAGTCGGACCATCCAAGCAGCATGCCCTCTGAGTGTTTCCCAAGCTGAATGAAATCTCTTAAGTCACAAGTACACTGGAATGGATTTTTCCCCACATTTAGAGTCCGAACTTCCTGGCAGCTCTGCAAAAAATTCAGAGAGGGGCTGAGAATCAAGTTCATTTCAACGTTCAGCACTGAGAGTTTTCTGAAATGACTGCATTCAGGGAGATCAGTTAGAAAATTCAATGCGATGTTTAACTCTCGTAAGGACGTCAGATGGATAATCTCCTTAGGGATAGTTTGAATTTTGTTATTATTCAGATCGAGTGTTTGAATACTTCTGGGCAAGCACCTGAAAACAGAGCCAGCCAATTTATTGGACGACAGATCCATGGTAAGCAAGGTGTCTGGCCATGAGCAATTGTCATCATTTTGATGTTGTAATAGATTTTGGCTCAGATCCAAGTGCATTACCGGTGTGAGGCTAACAAAGCAACTCGCCAACGAAAGCGTCTCCAGTTTATTTCCCTTCAGAATGAGAGTTTTCAGATCAGGCAGTTGGGCAGGTTTTTTAAGCAGGTCATCCGTTAAGATGTTATTGGCAAAATTTAAATACTGGAACCTTGTAGGAGAATTAGGGAAAAGCATGTGTGGCATTTGGGCATCTGATATTGTCAGGTTTTCTATGTCCATTTTGGTGAAAAGCAAGTAGATTCTATCCTGTGGGATATTAAAAACTCTGAAATGAACATGCTCCAATTTTACAGTTCTCATCACAGTGCTTGTATAGTCAAAGGATTCGTGGTCAAGATAAACAATACCTCCAAAAGTCACATTTTCGATTTGGAAGTATTCCACTGAAGTATGCCAAACAAACTGGAATACAAGGAGAAGGTCATCCCAGAGCAAATCAACTTTATTAAATAACAGAATGGATGTCTTGGCATTCTCCAAAATGAGATCGTGTCGAGTTTCATAACTTACAAATTGGCTTTTGCCATCTATATTTGTCATTTCTAGTATTTTTGAAGTCTTCAGTCCATCACACAAGAGTGCCCAAAAATTGACGTTCATCGGTAGAACAATATGAAGTTTTGTTGTGTTTAAGATGGGCAGGCTGCCTTCTTCATAATGAGAGAGGGTTCTCAGTCCTAAGATGACAGTATTGAGATGCAGGTGAGAAATTTTCTGGAAATCCGATTTTTGGATTTTTGCCCCACTCAGCCCCAGGGTTTCCAGCTGTGACATGTGGCCAGTCTCCTCACTGATGGGCATGGTGTCAAAACGATTAAAGGAGAGATCTACATGTTTGAGACTGGCCAACGGATACCAGGTTACGACGTTCAGTCTGTTGTGAGACACATCTAAATATCGTAACTCTTTGTTGAACTCAAAGCTCTTGATATCCAGTTGCTGGAGACTATTATGGCACAGAATCAAAATTTTCAGTTTGGAGACGGAATGAAAATCTGAATTCTGGAGTTCGGAAAGGAGGTTGTAGGATAAATCTACTGTGGTTGAGGCTGGGGCTAAGTCTGTGGGAACCTTTCTCAGAGACAAGTTGCTGAGGTTGGTTGTCAATTCTCTTTCCTCTGGCAGCTTTGGGGCCCAGCCCTCCACTGATATCACAATAGTACAACACAAGTAAATGCTTCTGATAAGTCTCATGGTCTCTCCAAGGGTTTTCCAGTTCCCTCAAATTTATGATGAAGATGAGTTCAAACCCTTAGAACAACAGCAAATGATGTTACATTTTTCATTTCTTTTGTTAAATCCTGTAGGACTTTAATTTTATTTTTCATGCCAACATCTGACTATGGGAGTATTTACCAAGAGATTGGAAAATGTTCCAACCCACACTGCTTCTTGGACTTGGTCTCAGAGGCTCTGAGCCAATTACTGTGCCATGTCCCATGTCCCATCCCTGAGATGATTCAAGGTTGCCAGGGGCCATCAATGAAGTTCATGGAGATAAATATTATGAAAAAATTATCCATGGCTTACAAAATATTTTCAAATTATAGTAAACTTTTAATTTCATTTTTCACAAATTTTTTAACATAGCTTCATGGGTGGGAGAAGTGCCTCACTCCCAATTCAGCTTAGAAATTATATTTCCAGGTTGGATTCAACATTTTCTCTAACATCTCCTTTTGATATAGACCAAAGCTTTTAAGAAAATTGAAAGTGTTTTTTTTTTTAACCTCCAACTATTGTGGATCACCGAATTAATACCATGGAGTTCTTCCTCAATTTTTGTACTCCCACAGAGGCCCCAAAGCGAATATCTGACTTTCAGTTAACACTTACCCATAAACATGGACGGCCCAAAACACAGAAGTGGGACGATTCCTGTCCTTTGACCTCCGTGGGTCTTGAGGTTGGTGACAAAAGCAGTCTGGATCACTGCCAATTAATAATAGCAATGATAAAAAAAAATTCTATTTTTTTTGGGTGGCTTTCAATATGCCGACACATAGACTAAGCTTTTTCTTTTCTTTTTTTTTTTTTTTTTTGACAGGCAGAGTGGATAGTGAGAGAGAGAGACAGAGAGAAAGGTCTTCCTTTGCCGTTGGTTCACCCTCCAATGGCCGCTGTGGCAGGCGCACCGCACTGATCCGAAGCCAGGAGCCAGGTGCTTCTCCTGGTCTCCCATGGGGTGCAGGGTCCAAGTACTTGGGCCATCCTCCACTGCACTCCCTGGCCACAGCAGAGAGCTGGCCTGGAAGAGGGGCAACCGGGACAGAATCTGGCGCCCCGACTGGGACTAGAACCCGGTGTGCCGGTGCCGCAAGGCGGAGGATTAGCCTAGTGAGCCGCAGCGCCGGCTAGACTGTTTTTTCAATCACACTGCTCCGTGAAGGAGTACTGTCACTCCGACTTTACAGATGAGGAAGCTCCTGGATGTGGAATGCTGAGTGTTTGGGGTTAGGCTTCACGGTGTTGGATGAGACCCAGAGCAGAGGCCTCTGGACTTCTCATGCTGTCCTGTTGTTCTAGAGCTGTGTGTGTGTGTGTGTGTGTGTGTGTGTGTGTGAGAGAGAGAGAGAGAGAGAGAGAGAGAGAGGCATGCAGACACGGGGGACAACCAAATTGGCAGAATCAAAACAGAAGGCCACGTAGGATACTCTCTCACATTTGGATTTCTTTTCCCTAGAAACTTCCCAAATGTGTTTATTTTTTTTTCTTGAAGTGAAGAACCTTTAGAAAATATGCGGCTATTTCCCCCAAATAACTCACAAACAAAAGTACTTTGTCTTAGTTCAGTTTGCTATCCCAAACCACCATCGACTGGGTTAGACAACAAGTGTGGACTTCTCACAGTCTTGGATGACAGGATGTCCGGGCTCGAGTCCTGAGTTAGAGACAGTGCCTTCTCATTGTATTGTCACGTGAAGGATGAGAGAGAGACCGAGAGAGCCGGCGAGCCTAGGTTTTCCAGGTAGCCATTAATACCACGAAAGCCACACAGAATCTTACTCCTCTCATCCCTGACCTTGGTGACACGTGTCCTCACGGTGTCTGTGTGAATTCTCTTACCTTGTGCTCCTGGAGAATTCCAGTTTTTAAAATATGAACGATCTGCCTCGATGATATAATCCTTATCTACCATAAACTGCTGTTCTGGTAAGCGCTCTCAAATATCTTGGGGGAAAAGAACACACTAATTTTGGTGAGGTCGCCACAATGACATGATTTGTTAAAATGTCAACTTAGAGAAACATGGCTTCCAATGATTTAGGATGTCTTCAGTAATATTGTTCTTGGCCCTGATGTTAGTGACTCCTTGGAGTGATATATATGCTAAAAATACACTGCATTAATATGTAAACTATAAGAAGAAACAAGTGCATATTTTACTTAATTTAGTTCCCTATGGATTTTCAAATTATTATATACTGAATAAGTTTTTGACATCTCCTTCTAAATATTCCTAATAGAAAATCAGTGTACAGCTGTTGCCTCAAGGAATAATTACTGCTCAAAATATTATGCCATGGTATCTAATATGTAACTTTAAAAGTGACGTTTTCTTTCTATTTCCTTAAAACCACTCATAGAGTTTCGGACAGTCTTAACTTTTGCACTACTTAGATATGGAAAATAATTTCCCATGAGTTTACTGTTACTTCTGAATGACTTATTAATAGATGAGCCTTTGTCTGTGGGCCTGCTGGCTCTTTCCTCTGCCCCTCATGCCAGGGGAGCCATCTGTCTCTGTTCTTTCCACAGCCCCTGCCCCTAGAGTGCGCCTGGCACAAGGCAGTAAATGCCTGTTGAGTGTACGTGGGAAGGAATGAATGATACCAACATTTTGTTCCCTAGAACAGAATGTACTTAATATGCTTTCCAAAAACGTGTTGAATGAATGATGTTGTGAATACCTCCTATGGTGAAGTACATGATGGTTACAAAGATGAGTCTGGTTTCAGGGATCGATAGACCTACGTTCAAGTCCAATGTTAACTGCTCACAGGCTGTGGGACCAAAACCACCTATTCAACCTCTGAAGAGTTCCTCTTTCTCATCAGTAAAAAGTGCCTGTGCAGAGCCATAAAATAGATCACAAACATAAACCACTCAGCACCCTGCCTGCCGCATCACACATAACACCATGCACGCTGCATAACAGGGAAGCATCAGGCCAAGGCCAGCGTGAGGCTAGGAAGGCACAGACTTTAAGGGGATGCCAAGGAACTCAATCATCAAGATAAACAATTTGTCAATGAAAACTTTCTTAAAATCAAAGTTAATGCAAAAATCTGTCTTGGACAAAACACCAAAATTTTTCATAGAGATAAGATCAGTATTACTGATTTTTTTTTTCTCTTGCCTCATCAGGGCTCTGGCAGTCATAATCATATGTTAACAAAGCTGTCTCCAGTGTTATCCCCGGAGCACTTTAATTTGTAGCCACTTCAAGCTTAGGTCTGAGAGCTGTGGGCTTGGAAATGCAGCAGCGTGGCTATATCTGGAGTCCCCTGGGTTGAGACGTCAGAGTTTCCATCTCTTACTCACCTGCCCAATACCGAAACCTTAACTGAAACTCTAGTGAGAGAGGAACTAACTTTTCTTGAACTTCTCTTAATAAAATGCAACGGTCCTATGTTTCAGGTGAGGAATATGCACTACGGCATTTTGTTAAAACATTTTAAAAATAGGACATCAACTTTTGGGCATTCCGTTCATTATTTTATTCAGTTCTCTCAAAAATCCAACAAAATGGTAGCTTTAATTATTCGTGTTTTACAGATGGGAGAGCTAAAGCCCAGAGGGTAAGCCCAAGGCCACCCTGTAAATGAACAGCAGGGACGGGTTTTGTCCCCAACCTGTCGGTTCTCTGTTCCCCTCTGGTTGGCAGCCAAACCCAGACTGAAGGCATCTCAAGTCCCGACATGAAGGGTGGCACAAGAGGACCAGGTTGATTCCTGGTCCTGGGCGGCCTGGGCGGCTGCTGTAGTTGCCTCTTCCTCCCTTCCCTCCTGTGTGCCCATCTCCAGATAGTTGCACCGCTGCTATAGGGCCCTCTGCCAGGTGTCACAGAGCTAGAGACTTTGCCTGTGTGTAAACATATTGTGAGAAGAGTTAGAAGTCCATAGGACTCGAAATCAACTCGAAGTGCACACATCCTAATTAACAGTTCACGTAGGTCTGTGAGCAAGCTCTCGTCAGAGTCTGATGCCTGGATGCCGAGAGCCGTCCTCTGCACAGCAGCCGCTCAGCCTTTTTGGCTGCTCTGGACTTCTGAGCAGGAAATTGAGCCACTATTGCACCGTACAAGACCCATCAGGGCTCCCCTACTCTTAGATGCACATAATAAGGCAGAACTTTTGAACTCAGTAAAGCAGCAACAAATGTACCTTAAATAGCCAAGTATCTCATCCAGCAGGTGTTGTTAATATATATTTTGCAGAAATATTTTGTACACTTATGGACAAACATGTTACATACATTTCTTGTTAATATGTACCATAGGCAAATAAAAACCAGAGAAAACTCACCGTGCCTGGGGTGGGCCACTGTGGATAGAGGGGCTGACCAGGTTTGATCTGCACCAAGTGAAGGGACAGCCAAACCTCAGGCACCTGTGTGACATTTCTCCAGATAAGTCACCCCAAGGTCACTAATTGTTCATCTTCAGGCAAAATAATCAATAATAAAATATGAATGTTTACTTTGCTTCCATCTGTACTGGCTCAAATTCTCTCCTCTTTAGGAAAGACCCAAGCAAATCTTTTCATAAGCATCACAACAAACAAAGCCGGTTCTTCTTACCCCAGGCCTTGCCGGTTTCAGTAGAGCTGCAGGTGTGTGGAGGCTGCCTTGGCAGGATCAGAGTGGCTGCAGGAATGGGCTGAGTCCAGCTTGTCTGTGAAGCTTAAGTCCCTTCCCCCTACTGCACACCAGTGGTATTGCATGTTGTGTAAAGTCAGCATCTCAGGGCACCTCGTGTTCTCTTTCTCTCTCTCTCTCTCTCTCTTTCTTTCTTTCTTTCTGTCTTTCTTTCTTTCTTTCTTTCTTTCTTTCTTTCTTTCTTTTTTATTGACAGGCAGAGTTAGACAGTGAGAGAGAGAGAGAGAGAGACAGAGAGAAAGGTCTTCCTTCCGTTGGTTCACCCCCCAAATGGTCGCCACTGCTGGCGCTGCACCAATCCAAAGCCAGCAGCCAGATGCTTCCTCCTGGTCTCCCATGTGGGTGCAGGGCCCAAGCACTTGGGCCATCCTCCACTGCACTCCCGGGCCACAGCAGAGAGCTGGCCTGGAAGAGGGGCAACCGGGACAGAATCCGGTGCCCCGACTGGGACTAGAACCCGGTGTGCCAGCGCCGCAGGAGGAGGATTAGCCTATTAAGGTGCAGAACCGGTCATGGGCACCTTGTTTTCAACGATGGTATAATACACAGAACATGACACCCATCATTTTCACCATTTTAAAGGGTAGGGTTCACTGGCATAATGTGGATTCACATTGGGGTTTTTCTCATTCAAAGAATGAACTTCCCTTTGCCGGGAGGCCACATGTGTAAACTCTTCACACTGTCGGAAAATGAAGTCATTTTCTTTACTTATTTTTTAATTTATTTGCCAAAAACAAGTTGAGTGTATTAAGGGAGCAGTGCTTTGTGTCCTCCCATCATCATCATGAAAGCTTGCATTGGCTTCCTAGGTGCAGGAAGTATTACATGAGGGCACACAGCTGTCAGCTAAACCTCGCCACCATCCGTGTCGAATATACATGTTATCTCCGTTTGACAGATGAGGAAACACACTGAGCGAGGACAGCAAACTTTCCCGAGATTTTCATCCAGGAAGACATGAAGCCGAGATTCAGAACTGAGTCTGTCCGGTCCCAAGGCCACGGTTGTCTTTTTAGTCCAGGTGTCCAAAGGTTTATGCAGCCCTCTTTGTCTTCGCTTGGGGGGGTCTGAAATCTTTCATTCCTCCTCCACAGTTAGCCACCAAGGAAAGTGTGCTCTCAATCAGAGCTGCTGATTACTTGGGGATGTAATTATTTTATGCCTTTAAAAATTTTTCCTCTCTCTCTCTCTCTCTCTCTCTCTCTCTCTCTCTCGTGCGCACACACACACACACACTCGCACACTCTTTCCCCATCCCTCCCCCACCCCTCCCCCCATGCCTTCAAGAAGTGGGGAAGTGCATCGTGGTACCACAGGCCTCACAGAGCCCTGGAGCAATGACCCCTCCCAGCCCCGCTGCTGCAGAGAACCTGCCCTGGTGGTCAGAACATCTTACTGTGCCCGTTCCAAGTGGGCAGGGCTGTTCTCTGCTCTGGCTGCGACTTCTCTTTGATTCTTCCTCAATCTGCTTCGCCTTTGTTGCCTTTTGCTTCTGTATCTTCCTGCAGCCCTGGCTCTGTATTGTGGCTTATGGTTGTCGCTCCCCCATTCGCGGAGGAACGACACAGGACCCTGTGCTGTTCTTTTGTCTGCTCGGCCCTTCCCGGGTTTGCTGCTGGTTCTTCCTGGGTTGGCTGCCGACCCCTCCACCTCCATGGAGGGGCGGTTCCCCCTGCCACTTCCCCCATTTCCGCAGGGGAGCGGCACACCGCCGGCCGGCTCTCGGGGGCTGCTCAGATGTTATCCGGATGTTCCTGGTGCATGTTGTCTCTCTCCTCCTTTATAGTCCTCTTCCACCAATCCCAACTCTGCTACCCACACGCCGAGTACGCTGCTCTCCTCCAATCAGGAGCAGGGTCAGCTCCTGCAGGTTATTGGTCGAACTGGAGGCAGCTATGTAGAAGTTGTTTACTCCTCTCCCAGCGCCATATTGTGGGAGAGCAGATGCATAGAATAAGTCTTAATTCCAGTAACTTAGTCTAGTCCGAGTTGCTCCCCACAATGGTCAAAGTGGAGGCAGCTCATCCTGACAGTACCTGCCCCGAGATAGAAAACCGAGTGGACTTCTGCCTCCCAGCCCAGCCCAAAATGGACTTTCTACTGGCAGGAGCTTGGGGACCACCTGCTAGTCAGCTCCCATTTCCTGTTTTGCTGGGCGGGAAAGTCACACTTGGGGGACGGAGGTCCCTGTGGCTGCTCTCTCCCTTGTAGTCAAGAGAAAGCCAAACGGCAGAGAGAATGGACAACCAAATGGAGAGAATGAGACTGGAATGCAAAGGACAGGGTGGGGATGGAGAGAAAAAGAATGGAGAAAATCGGAGAGAGGGAAAGCAAAGGAGAAAGAGAATGAAAAAGAGAATTACTGGATTTCAGGTAGTTATCATTGACAAGTACATGGATGATGGATGGGTTGCTTGGCATTGATCTCGGGCAATTAATAAACATCCTTTAAAAAAGTCAGCATGAGGAATTCCTCCATATTTCCTTGTTTCCAAATTCCATTGTTCTGATTGACTATTAAAAAATTACACACTGTCTCATACTTGCTAAGATATTTTTCAATACCTCCTGTCTTGCTAGAGCCAGCTTACACTAGCTTGTACTGGCCAATTTTAATCTACAAGAATTTCATTATCCTGTTCTTTTTTTTAAGATTTATTTTATTTATTTGAAAGACAGAGTTACAGAGAGAGGTAGAGACAGAGAGAGAGGTCTTCCATCTGCTAGTTCACTCCCCAGATGGCCACAACAGCCGGAGCTGCGCCAATCTGAAGCCAGGAGCCAGGAGCTTCCTTCTGGTCTCCTATGCAAGTGCAGGGGCCCAAGGACTTGGGCCATCCTCTACTGCATTCCCAGGCCACAGCAGAGAGCTGGATCAGAAGAGGAGCAGCCAGGACTAGAACTGGCACCCATATGGGATGCCGGCGTTTCAGGCCAGGGCGTTAACCTGCTGTGCCACAGGCCCCAATTATCCTGCTCTTAAAAGCAATCATTATTAAAAATCAAATTATATATATTCATTTAGATGAACTATGTTGAAAATAAAGGTTTTAAGTACTGGAAACTAATGATTTTACTATTTATTACTATTATGTTCTTGGGGTATTGATGTCTATTATATCTGCGGTAGAAACATATAGTATCAATCATATCAAATATAGATAGTGTGGTAGAAACATATAGCATCAATCCCGTGCAATTGATTCCAACTCCATCTTTTTCTAAAAAAAGGATTTCATTTTTTTGAAAGGCAGAGTTACAGACAAGGAGAATCAGAGAGAAAGAGAGAGAGAGTCTTCCATCTGAAGACTGAGCCAATCCAAAGTCAGGAGCCAGGAGCTTCTTCTGGGTCTCCCACATGGGTGCATGGGTCCAAGGACTTGGGCCATCTTCCAGTGTTTTCCCAAGTGCATTAGCAGGGAGCTGGATCTGAAGTGGAGCAGCCAGGAATTGAACTGGCATCCATGTGGGATGCCAACACTGCAGGCAATGGCTTTACCAGCTACACCACAGTGCCAGCCCCTCCAATTCCATCTTCTGAGACTTCACATTAGTACCTCGAAATTCACTGTTGTGGGAGTATTTACACCATGACATTGGTGAACACTGTAAATCAATACATTATTGTTTTGTTAATTTTCTTGACAAATGAAAGCAGTGGAGAAAATGTCAATTTGTCAGAATTTTATTTTTTGAGGTTAAGTATGAAAGAACTTCAAAAAGTTTGTGGACAGCAGAATTAAAAGACAAGTTATTGGGGTGCAAAAGAGTTTGAAATCCACGTATGGATTTTTCATCATACACATTTTCCATGAATTTTTGAAGGTCCATTATATTAACCAGCATTGTATCTAGTGTTATTTATATCTGATATTAAAGAAAAAAACATTTCTCTAACTTAATGGTTCACTGCTCATAAAAGCAATAATTTGACAGAGATTTACATGTGAATGACCTCTTTCTTTCAGTTAAATTATTCAGTGTTTACAGTATTATGATCTATGGAATTATTGGGGCATAGCTAAAAACTGTTATGCTGTGATCACCATCTGAAGCTACCCTTCTTGGTTCTCCTCTAGTTAATCGCCTTGCATTTTATTTTGTTCATTTTTTTATATATCTGTGATAATTTCCCACATTATCAAATAGCTCTCAAGTCAAGTTTTTAAATCAAGTTTCAAATCAAGTTTAAAAGCAAATCTATCTACAAATTATTGTCTCCTTCCAATGACTGTCACTTGCTGTGGTGTGGACCAGACACTGCTACAGAGCCGGCTTTAGCTGCTATCGTCCCAGGAGGCTGTCCTTCCTCTAGACCCCATTTCCTGGAATGCATAGTGTCATCTTTCTTGGTTTTTGTTGGTAATAGCAGAACAAATCCTCCAGAAGTTTCTGGAGAAACGGTGCATTATGCCTTCCTGGTTAACAGGAAGGGAGAACTTGAACATCAAGCCCTGTGTTTCATGGATTATTTGAATACAAAGTTCTCAGTTCTAATAGTTTTCCCACACAATTTGAAGACATTGCTCTAGCACTTTCCAGCTTTCCATCTTCTATTGACATGCGCGGTCTCATTTTGACTGCTGGTTCTTTTCACACAACCTAGTGTTTTTTCGTCATGTCTTCCCCTCTGTTTTTTCTGGGACACCTATTAGGTGGACATAAACCTCTCAAACCTAAGCTTTTATTTCTTATTTTTTTTCTCTTGCATTGGCAGTTGCATTATGCATTATTTAATGACAGGAACGTGTTTTAAGACAATGCATCAGGGCTGGTATTGTGGCATAGCAGGTCAAGCTGCCGCCTGCAACACCAGCATCCAACATGGGCACCAGTTTGTGTCCTGGCTGCTTCACTTCCAATCTGGCTCCCTGCTAATGGCCTGGGAAAAGAGGTAGAAGACGGTCCAAGTGCCTGGGCCACTGCCACCCATGGGGGAGACCCAGATGAAGCACCTGGCTCAGGGTTGGCTATTGCAGCCACCTGGGGAGTAACCAAAGGGTAGAAGGTAGCTCGCTCGCTCGCTCCCAGTAACTCTAACGTTGTTATGAGGTGTAGTCATTGTGTTCTACTTTCTTAGAAATTCTTTTTTTTTTTTTAAGATTTATTTTATTTATTTGAAAACCAGAGTTACAGAAAGAGGTAGAGACAGAGAGAGAGGTCTTCCAACTGCTGGTTCACTCCCCAGATGGCCGCAACGGCTGGAGCTACACCAATCCGAAGCCAGGAGCTTCTTCTGGGTCTCCCATGTGGGTACAGGGGCCCAAGGACTTGGGCCATCTTCTACTGCTCTCCCAGGCCATAGCAGAGAGCTGGATCAGAAGAGGAGCAGCCGGTACTAGAACCGGTACCCATATGGGATGCCGGTACTTCAGGCCAGGGCTTTAACCTGCTGTGCCACAGCGCCGGTCCCTTTTAGAAATTCACTAGCATATTTTCCAATGCTTCTGTTTCTTTGGGGGAAGAGACTTTCCAATGTTTAAGTTCTCAGAAGTACCCACCATAGCTTCCAGTTGTCTTGCAAGGGAGGGTGACACCACTGTAGGGCTGCCCGTGACTGCTATCATCAAGAGGAAGCACTCCTCTCCCCTGCCTCACAAAGCACCTGGCTTGGGACTTCTTTGGCTAACTTTGATAATGGGTTTTTATTAAGGCTTCTCATCCACTTGCGTGCGTGTTTCCTGGGGGAACTCAGGAAGTGACAGTGTCCTAGTTTGAGGGTATGATCTGCCAGGCGCTCTGCACCAACCGATGAAGGCAGCGGTGAGCTGGTCCCTGAGGGCAGCCGCTGCAAGAGAACGGGAGAGGCAGCCAGAAAACCCAGCCGTTCTCTGATCTCCCCGGGTCAGACTGCGCTCCTGCAGCCAGGCGGGCTGGGGAGGCCAGGGATTGTGCTTGGAGTGACAGCTCAAAAACTAGAAGGCTTGAGGATACCTGGCTGCATGATTCAAAACTTTCACATGTTTGTTTTGTTTGCTTTAAAGCTAGATTATTTATTTATTCCACAGGCAGAGTGACAGAGAGCTTCCATCAGCTGGTTCTCTTCCCAAATGGCCTGCGAGGGCCAGGAATGGTCCAGGCCAAAGCCAGGAGACTGGAACTCCATTCTGGTTTCCTACTTGGGTGGCAGGAGCCCAAGGACTCAGGCCATCATCTTCTGCTAGAATTCAAATGGGATGCTAGTATCTGAAGCTGAACCCACTTTGTCACAACACAGACCCTGTGGGTTGTTCTCTAACTAGGTCCAGTTTTTTTTTTTTTTTTCACAGATAGAGTTAGACAGTTAGACAGCGAGAGAGACAGAGAAAGGTCTTCCTTCCATTGGTTCAACTCCCAAATGGCCGCCTCGGCTGGAGCTACGCTGATCCAAAGCCAGGAGCCAGGTACTTCCTCCTGGTCTCCCATGCAGGTGCAGGGCCCAAGCATTTGGGCCATCCTCCACTGCCTTCCCAGGCCACAGCAGAGAGCTGGACTAGAAGAGGAGCAACCGGGACTAGAACCTGGCACCCATGTGGGCGCCTGGTGCCGCAGGCGGAGGATTAACCAAGTGAGCCATGGCACCAGCCCCCCTAGGTCCAGTTTCGAGCTATCCATGTTCATTGCTGGCATATCGAGTGAGATCTTAGTAGTGCTTTCTTATCTATTCTATTCTCTCTCTCTCTCTCTTTCTCTGTCTCTCTCTCTCTCATTTGCTACCTGTTTGCCTCCTGATTTATTTCCCTACTTGCCATTTTTAGTTGTCCTATTTATTTGTTCCTTTGCTTGTATGTTTTTACACAGAGCTGTTTCCAGTTTTTATGTAGTTAAATTTTGTCTCTTTTCTGACTTTATTTATTCTTTGAAAGCTCAGAATAGTCTAGATTAAACACAACCAGCAACTCAATTCCACTTCCACACTGGGTGATGTAAGACAGTGAGGATAGGAGCAGCTGTTGTGGTGCAGCGGGTTAAGCTGTTGCTTGGAGTGCCAGTTCAAGTCCCAGCTACTCTGCTTCTGATCCAGCTTCCTGTTAATCCACTTTGGAAGGCAGTTGATGATGGCCCAAGTACTTAGATTCCTGCCACTTACCCAAGAGACCCAGATGGAGCTCCCGGCTCCTGGCTTTGGCCTGACCTAGCCCTGCAGTTGGGGGCATTTGGGGAGTGAACCAGCAGGTGGAAGGTCTCTCTCCTCCTCTCTCTGTCCCTCTCTTTCTGTCACCCTGCCTTTCAAACAAATAAATACACCTTAGAATAAAGATGATGAGGATAGTAATGACTATCATAATTCTGGACATTTATTGAGCTTTGCTTTGGGCCAGGCTCTGTTCTGTGTATATCACATGTATCAGCTCATCTAATTCTTGTAATAATAGTTCAAGGTATTGTCGCTCACTCTGCAGGCTCGCAGAGGAGCGGCAACGGATTTGCTGTTGTCTCTTTCCCTGGTCCTCCCTGGATTAGCTGCCGCCCCCCCACCCCCACCTCCGCGGAGGGGCGGCTCCCCCACTGCTTCCCCCGCTTCTGCGGAGGAGCGGCACACAGCCGGCCAGCTCTCTCAGGGGTTCCTCAGATGTTCCTCCTGCATGTTGTCTCTCTCCTCCTTTATAGTCCTCTTCCACCAATCCCAACTCTGCTGGCGTTCTCTCCCCATGCGCTGAGCATGCTGCTCTCCTCCAATCAGGGGCAGGATCAGCTCCTGCAGCTTGTTAGTCAAATTGGTGAGGCAGCTGTGTGGAAGTTGTTTACTCCCTCTCAGCGCCACATGGTGGGAGATCAGATGCATAGAGTTAGTCTTAGCAGTTCCAGTAGTTTAGTCTAGTCTCGGTAATCTCAGTATTTGTCCTCAGTATTTATTTGTCCACAGTCTTAATACTTATTTGTCTCCCGGGCGATGGGCCCTGCCATGTTACGGGAGACGGGCCCTGCTCCCCACAGGTATTATTATTCTAGCCTTACATCCTGAATAATAAAGCACAGAAGTACAGAACCACACAAGGTCAAGAGCAGGAGGAAGAGGCAGAATTCAGGCTGAGCGCTCTGTGTGTGAGACGCTCCACCTGCTCACTGAGTGCCACCTCTACACTGAATAGCTTGACTCTGACCTGCTACCCACTAAACCATTGACTTCTTACAACCTTATGAGAGAAGCACCATTACTATGCCCACTTGACAGACCAGGGAGAGGTTAAGGAACTCATCCCAGGGCACAGAGCTACAAAGACATTGAGCCAGGATTTAATCCAGAGCCCAGACTCATCTCCTTTATTCTCTACTGTTCTACCTCTTATTTGTTGATTGCAAATTTTTAAAGTGTATAAGAGGATAAAAACAAAAACAAGCAGCAACCTCAGGCAAGCAGTGATAATGCTTTTGCATATTTTTATTTTTTATTTTTATTTTTTTTATTTTTTATTTTTTGACAGGCAGAGTGGACAGTGAGAGAGAGAGACAGAGAGAAAGGTCTTCCTTTGCCGTTGGTTCACCCTCCAATGGCCGCCGCGGCCGGCGCGCTGCGGCCGGCACACCGCGCTGATCCGATGGCAGGAGCCAGGAGCCAGGTGCTTTTCCTGGTCTCCCATGGGGTGCAGGGCCCAAGCACCTGGGCCATCCTCCACTGCACTCCCTGGCCACAGCAGAGGGCTGGCCTGGAAGAGGGGCAACCGGGACAGAATCCGGCGCCCCGACCGGGACTAGAACCCGGTGTGCCGGCGCCGCTAGGCGGAGGATTAGCCTACTGAGCCGCGGCGCCGGCCTGCTTTTGCATATTTTATCTGGACCTTTTTCTATACATATTTTAACATGGTTGAGACCAAGTCATACAATTTTGTACTCTAGGTTTTTCACTTTTAATAGTGACTTGCTAAAGGACTTTTCATTAACAAAAGAATTTCTAGATGATTTTAACTGTGCTTAAAAATGACAAAAAAGAGTTAAGATTCTTGTTCATGTCAGTTCATACAACTGGAATCTGAGCAAAATCACCAGCCATAGAAAATTGGTCTCAGAGTTTCCATCTGGAATGAAGTAGAGCACACTCTTGGCCAAGGTTCTCCATAAGCAGAGTATGAGACAAGTGTTCAACTGAAACTAGTTTATTTCAGAAGTGATTCCATCAAACACCTGTTGAGGAGTGAGTAAAGGAGAAAAAAATATGAAAGAAGAAAATAAAGAACACTTTATCAAGTCATTTCTACTGTGGACAACCAGAATTTTATCCCACTGGAGACCTCAAGGAGAGTGAAAAGTATACCCCAGTCTTATCTCAAAAGTGGGTGAGGAAGTTGGGGTGTTTATCCACCAGTTCTCTTTCTGACAGATTGAAGACTGCTTCCAAGAGCAACTGTCCAACACTTCTGGATTACTCACTGTCTGGCCCTGATGGTCAGCAAGGAATCCCTTTGGGTGTTGAGTCTCAAACATGAGCAATGATCAACCTTCAACCTGTAGAGGCAAATACTGAGCAGAATCGCAGTGGGCACCAACAGCTCTACAATTCAGCAACAGAAATCCATCTATTGGCCTAAAAGTCATGGAGTTTCTAATATCAACACCAGCAACCAGGATTCCATCACTAAAAAGAAACATGTACTTCTTTGGATTTCATGGTAATTCAAGAAACAGGCGAATGCTCCATGTGTTAGAAATGAATTGTTTAGATCAAAATCATATTATTTCATGAACTTTAACCACCATGTACTTGTACGTATGTTCATCTACGTTGTAAACTCCAAATTGTGTTTACATATGTGTGGATACAAAATAAAGTCATTGTTGGAAATCTCAAGAACAGCAATGCTGACAAGAGGAATATTCTTAGTCCTGTGTGTGATCTATGTCTTTTGTTTGCTCCATCAACTTAACATTAATGACTGCTCTTAGGTTTGCCCAGAAAAGTCCATGTTTAGTCTTCTCCTTCGGCCATTCCAAGTAAGTCCTCCGTGCCATGAGGGTTTTGAGCTTGTGGTAGCTGTTCGGAATGGAGTACTGTGGAATGGGCTCCAGCAAGATCAGGATTAAGTTATTGGATCCTTCATGGAAGAGATTGTGGTGAGCAAAGTAGAGCTCATAATGGCACCACTCACTCTGGACAAAGTTGGGAGACAAGACAAAGATGGACTTGTAACTCTTCTCAATACAATTTATGATGTTTTCCACAATGCTCTTGCCAGGAACAAAGTCTCTCTCATGGAGACAAATCTGGATATCTTCTTTTTCTAGGTTGGGTACTAATTCACTCTTCACCCACGCAGAATCATGCCCACTGTATGAAATAAAAGCATGGAACTGGAGATTTCTTTGGAGTTCCACTAGGGGGATGTTCCGAGCCCTGTGCCGGGCCTGGGTCCACTGACACACCATCCTCAGATACCAGGGCACGTCCAGGTAGACGCAGAGGCAGGTCATGGAAGCAGCCACCAACAGCACGGTGGCCCCAATGGTGACCATCAGCAGGGCTATGTTGCAGGATAACTGAGATACATGAAAGTCCTTGAGCAGGGTTCCCTTGTAGCCTTCTGGGTAGGCACACTTATAGGAATCAGGCCAGCCCTCCGCCACCTCACTCGATAGCTGGCCCATACTTTTGATGAACTCTCTTAGCTCGCATGTACAGTGGAATGGATTGCTTCCCGCTTTTATTGACGTAATCTTCTGGCAGCTCTGGAAGAAACGAGCTGATGGGTGGGACACTGCATTGTGCTCAATGATCAGCAGAGAGAGGCTGCTGAAGGGGCCACACCCAGGGAGGTCTGCGAGGGAGTTGAGAGCAACATTGAGTTCTTGCAAAGCCTCCAGGTGGGTGACATCTTTAGGAATGGCCGTTATTCTGTTATTGTGGAGATCAAGCACCTTGACCTTGGGAGGTAAACATCTGAAAACAGAGTCCGTAAGTGCATTGGAAGACAAATTTAAATTTAATAAACTTCCAGTCCAGGAACAGTCTACCTCGTTTTCATCATTTCTTAGTGAATTTTGGCTAGCATCCAACTGTTGTAGAGACTTCATCTTCGTGGTCATATGAATTAAGTTTGTGAGGTCCTTTAATTGATTCCTCTGCAGATTAAATGTCTTTAACCCAGTTAAGGTTCCACAGTTTTGAAAAATCGTGTCCGTCAAGAGGTTGTTGGAAAAATCCAAATGCAAAAATGGGCTAATTTGGAGCGGACAAAGCATATGGATCATACGTGTCCCAGACACTGTGAAATTTTGGATGTTCATATTTGACAAAATTTTGTAGATGCTACCTTGGGAAAGACTGAGCGTACTACTGGAAAATTGGTTTATAGACAAGGCCTTTATGGAAGTGTTAGAATAATTAAAATCTATGAAGTCAAGTGGACCCTGAACATTCACATTTGAAATTGAGAAATACTCTATGGTTGAGGGCCAAACCAACTGGAGGATCCTAAGGAAAGACTTCCAAGTCGTTTCAATGTTGTGTAAGGTAAAATTTGATAACCTTGGATTCTTTCGAAGTTTTGACAGAACGTTTAGGAAGAAAGAACTTTCGTTGTCATGTAGCACGCAGTTAATATTAGACAACTCCAGACTTGCTGCAGGGCTGGCTGCCACATCCAACAGGAAGCTGAATTCCTTTTTGGAGGGGAAAACAATATGCAAACTCTCTGTGTTAAAGTCTCGAAGCACGTCAGGCTCTTCTTTTTCCCCATAATGGTCTCCTAAGACCAACAAAACCTTACTGATATTCAAATGAGCGATTGGCTGCACGCTGGATTTTTGTAACTGGCTTGCACTCAGCCCCAGGAATTTCAGCTGAGACATGTTGCCAAATTGTTTGCATATGGGCAGAGCATCAAACGCATTAAACGAGAGGTCTAAGTGCTTGAAGTTCACACTAGGGTGGCAAGAAATCTTCCACAGCTCATTGTGGGACACATCCAAGTATTCCAATTCCTGGTTGTATTTGAACACACTGAAATCGAGATATCGGATTCTGTTGTGAGAAATTATCAAAATCCTCAGGTTTGAGAGTGATTGGACATCTGCTGTCTGAAGCGCAGATATGGAGTTTTGCGAAATATCTAAGACCGTGGTTTGCAGAGGCAGGTCTTTGGGAACATGGAGCAGGCCTGTTTTGGACATATTAATGGAAATCTCACTCCCATCAGATGGTTGGATTCTGACCACAAGTATTAACATGTCAATGATGGCAAGATGGAAGCTGCTAGAAATAGTGTTGGTCATTCTGGAACACTAGACATTCCTAATGGCAGTTGCTATTCTTCAGAGCCTCTTGAATCAGGTCCTAGAAAAAAAAAATGCATGTTAAGTGATAACATTAAATTAGGCATGGTTGACATTAAACACTTTTTATTAGAGACTCGTAAGGTGGAGGCTATATTCTTTGGGTTACACAACTTGAAGCCTGGGAAACATTAGAAAGATAGATAATTATGTCAGCTTTATCAAATAACGAGTAATACGGATGGGGTTGAAGGGTGAGACCCCAGAAGATTTGTCTGCCTCCTGCCCATGACCTAATCCCCAGAAACTGAATATTATCATATTTAGAAAAAGAATCTTTTCAGGGATAAAATTAAAGATTGTTTATTAATATTTGGAAGAAGTTCAGTTTTGTTTATTTTTATTTCTTTCATACATTTGAAATGCAGAGAATGTCAGAGATGGCTTTTCCATTCACTGGTTCACTCCTCAAATGTCCATAAAAGCTAGGTTTCGGTTACACTGAAGCCAGGAGCTGGGAACTCAATTCAGGTCTCCCACATGGGTGGCAAGGACCCAAGGATTTGAGCCATCGCCGGCTACCTCTCAGATGCACATCAGGCAGGAAGCTAGAAGCAGAAGTGGAGTCAGGACTCGAACCCAGGCCCTCTGGTGTGGATGCCGGCATCTCATGCAGTATCTTAATTCATCTAAGATCCACCCCAAAGTTAAGGATCTTGAGAAATGAGATCACATGGAAAATGGCCCCTAGATCTAATGACAAGTATGCCTATAAGAGGCAGAGGGGTATTTGACAGAGACAGCAGAGGACAGAATCACAAAGGAGAAAGCCACGTGAGGACGGAGGCAGAGGTTGGAGTGATACAGCCACAGGGCCAGTGACACCAGCAGCCACAGAAGCTGGGGGGGCCCCTGGAGAGGATGCTGCCATGCGGGCACCTTGGTTTGGTCCTTGTGGCCCTCAGAACGATAACAAACGAATTTCTGTTATTTCAGACCCTTAATGGTGATTTGGTTTATGGGAACTCCTCTGGCCACACCCCTCCTGAGATCATTTGGAACTCAGGCTAAGATTCACTGGGTAGACCTCCACTCTTTGACACATACCTGCCCATGACATTCTTGAGAATTCTCCCACATGGTGAATTTGTTCTTACCTTACCTTTCAGGATCTTCACGAGGTTTGGGGCTATACCTGGGTCTTGTGCAAAAGGTGATTAATTAGATCATGATGAAAGACCTCGCAGGAAATGTGTTCTTCCATTTATTTATTCAACCAATATGTATTGATACCCTACTGGCCATGGCTTAGGAGCTAAGGGTGTAGTGAGTAAGATAAAGTCCTAATTCCCAAGGAGCTTATTATTTGGAGAGGGGATAGAAAATAAACAAATAAATATCCAAGCTTAACTTCATAAAGTGCTAAGTGCTCCATACGAAAACCAAGGGTCCATTGCAGGCGTGGGGGGGTAGTTGGTGGCAGCTGCTGTCAGAGATGAGTTAGACAGATGGACGTGAGGCAGTCACCCGTGGGAAGATCTGGGGGAAGAGCCTTTCTGACACAGGCAAAGGCAGATAGGTTGGCTTGCCCAGGGCCAGGAGGTCAGTGTGAGCACTGAGTGAGCAAAAATGAGAGGTGTCACAGCCAAGGTCACGTGGGGTCTTGTAGGTCATTGCAGCGAGTTGAGCTCGCATCCAAGGGTGATGAGGGAGTGGGAGCTTTTAAATATGGGCATTGTCTCCTCCTCTCTCTTACTCAATTTTTTTTTCATTCACTCATAAAATGTCTTTATTCCATATGAAATGCTGGGTATTGTTCTAGGGTGTGGCCTTCGCACTAGTTATCAGCCTGCTCTAGACAAGATGCTATTTTGTTATCAGCATTCCAGTGGCACACGGATCAGGGCGAGTTCGTTTGGGATGACCCTCAAGACCCTTCAGCCAGGGCTGGCAGCTGTACACTTTTTTTTTTTTTTTTTTTGACAGGCAGAGTGGAGAGAGAGAGACAGAGAGAAAGGTCTTCCTTTTGCCATTGGTTCACCCTCCAATGGCCGCCACAGCTGGCATGCTGTGGCCGGCGCACCGCACTGATCCGATGGTAGGAGCCAGGTACTTATCCTGGTCTCCCATGGGGTGCAGGGCCCAAGCACTTGGGCCATCCTCCACTGCACTCTCTGGCCACAGCAGAGAGCTGGCCTGGAAGAGGGGCAACCGGGACAGAATCCGGCGCCCCGACCGGGACTAGAACCTGGTGTGCCGGTGCCACAAGGCGGAGGATTAGCCTAGTGAGCCACGGCGCCGGCCAGCTGTACACTTTCAAGGTACTCCACATCCCCTGAACTGCATTAGATAAGCCATCAGGATCCACAAAGCACCAGATCCTTCTTTCCCTCTCCTCTTCCTTATCTCAATGGGCACAGAAGGACCTAAAGAATTTAGCTCCCAGGAACAACCCTGAGTTGCAAAAGTTCCCCCAGAGGCAAACCAGTCTGGTTTCCAGAGCTCTCTTGGGCTTACACTTTAGTCGAGGTGTCCGAAGATGCCTTCGTTGTCCTTTCTTATTTATTCTGTTCCAGAAGAGGCCCTGTTGTTACCTTTCCTTGGCCTTCATGAAGACGCTGAAAGAGAAAGATGACTCAGATGTGAGAATTCATGGTAAAAGTAAAGGTCGCTTCTTTGTGGCATTAACTCAGGAACTTTCTCCTTCCTGAAGGAGCTCCTCACACAGCTGCAATATTGAAAGTGCTGGGGCCGGCGCTGTGGTGCAGCAGGTTAAAGCCCTGACCTGAAGCGCCGGCATCCCATATGGGCGCCGGTTCTAGTCCCGGCTGCTCCTCTTCCAATCCAGCTCTCTGCTGTGGCCCGGGATAGCAGTAGAAGATGGTCCAAGTCCTTGGGCCTGTGCACCTATGTGAGAGACCTGGACGAAACTCCTGGCTCCTGGCTTCGGATCGGCGCAGCTCTGGCTGTTGCGGTCATCTGGGGAGTGAACCAGCGGATGGAAGACCTCTTTCTGTCTCTACCTCTCTCTGTAATTCTATCTTTCAAATAAATAAAATAAAATCTTAAAAAAAAAAAAGAAGTGCTATGGACTGAATGTTTGTGTCTCTCCAAAAGTCATATGCTGTTGGGGTGGTGTTTGGCGTGGTGTTGCTTGGGATGCCAGCAGCCCATATGGGAGTGCCTGGGTTCTAGTTCCATCTCCACACCTGATTCCAGCTTCTGCTAATGTGCACCCTGGGATACTGAAGTACTTGGGTCCCTGCCACCCATGTGGAAGACACAGATTGAGCTGTTGGCTCCTGGATTTTATCTGCCCCAGCCCAGGCTATTATGGACATTTGAGGAGTGCACCAGCACATGGCAGATCCCATCTCCCTGTCTCTGTCTGTCTCTCTGCCTTTCAAATAAATAAAATAAGTAATTTCTGAAAAATTGCACATGTTGAAATCCTAACTCCCAATGTGATATAGTATTAGGAAGCGGGGCCTAAGGGAGGTGATCTTGAGTTAGAGCCCTCATGAATAAGGTTAGAAAAGGGACTCCAGAGAGCTCTCTGAGCCTCTCATCCGTCACATGAGGAGACAAGGAACAGGTTGTAGCCTACCCAAAACCCAACCATGCTGGCACCCTGATCTTCTAGAAGTAAATGTCTGTTAGGACATTTTGGGGAGTTACAACACCCTAAACCAGCAAGACAGTAAGAATGGAAATAATACCCAATGACTGCCTAGGCCAGCCCCTGATATCTCAAAACACAACTGGTACAAGCTAAGTCCTAGTAAAAATGGCCTGGGCTTCAGGCTCAAGTAGGATCCCCTACTGGCTACTGTGCTTAGATCTAAATGAGGAGCTCTTTCCACCTCCGGGCCAACTCCAGAGTTCACAGAAGTGGGGATCGGCGTTCTCAGGCCCAGTGTGCAGAGCGACCGAGAGATAAGTGCTAGACAAAGCCCCAGGCGGGGACATGCGTGCTAAGTCCACGGAGTGCCCACCACAAGCGAAGTGAAAATTTTCTCATTCCTTTAATGGTTAACTGTGGCTACTACCATGGAAGAGTTGAATTAATAAAAATTTCCTGTTCCCATGCATTTAATGAAAGCACAGCTTTGGTTTTATATCGAGCTAAATTAACCGACTCACATATCTTTACAGCTAGCTAAATTAATTGACTCAAATGCCCAAATGCCATTTTGTCCTTTCATTTAGTCATTCATTTAAAATACTTAGTTTATGAACACATTTTATTTCTGCAATTAAGAAATCAAAGCATTGTAACATAAAGAAATAATTTTAAGGTCTTTAGATAATCTTTAAATGTTATATACCAAACATGTTAAATCAATGAAAATCAGTGTCATGACTCCTTGGTCCAAGCAAGATATTTTAAAAAAAAATTTTATTTTATTTTATTTGAAAGACAAGGCAAAGAGACAGATCTTTCACCCATTGTTTCACTCTCCAAATGCCCGCAAGAGCCAATGCTGGGCCAGGCAAAAGCCAAGAGTCTTGAACAACTTCTGGGTCACCCACATGGGTGGCAAGGACCCAAGTGCTTGAGAGCCATCATCTGCTACCTCAAGGTATACATTAGCAGGTTGAGAAGTGAAGAAGCTGGGACTCAAAGCAGGTACTCTAAGAAGGTTTTCAGACCTCTTGAGCAATGGCTTAATCTCTGCCACACAGCCACGTTGAAAGAAAATATTTTTTGATCCCAATGACCATCACCGAATCTCATCTATTAGAACTTCAAAACGGGGCCAGTGCCATGGCTCAATAGGCTAATCCTTCACCTGCAGCGCCGGCACCCCGGGTTCTAGTCCCGGTTGCTCCTCTTCCAGTCCAGCTCTCTGCTGTGGCCTGGGAGGGCAGTGGAGGATGGCCCAAGTGCTTGGGCCCTGCACCCGTATGGGAGACCAGGAGAAGCACCTGGCTCCCGGCTTGACGCAGCGCGCTAGCCATAGCAGCCATTTTGGGGGGTGAACCAACGGAAGAGGAAGACCTTTCTCTTTGTCTCTCTCCCCCACTGTTGAACTCTGCCTGTCAAAACAAACAAACAAACAAAAAAAACTTCAAAACTATTTTACTGTCAAATAGGTTATTATTTGCTAAGTTAAATAGTAAAGTGGTGTTTTAATTTGCAGGAATAGCATTCCCATGGGTGTGTTTGTCACCTTTCCTGACTCTGATAGGTTTAGCCTCATATTATCTGATACAACAGACACATACATTTGAATTGTCTTTGTCTGGAGACTTGAGAACATCAGCTCGGGACTTTGGTCTCTGGGAATCCTACTCCTGCCATCAGTCTGGCCCAGCAAGTTCTGTTCTGCAAGGGTTTCATTCTTCCCTGTGTCCATGCAGCTAGCGTTGAAAGGACTGGAACCAGTTCAAGGACTTCTCTCCTAGGTTCCCTATGTGGTTTTGTAAACTTGGGCTTTTTGTTGTAAAGACACATTCACTTTCAAACCTTTTGACCAAAGTGGTTGTTGCCTGGGAAAGGTTTCGAACCCACAATTCCACCTGAGTGCTAGCTCCCAGGACAGAGCCAGTGGGAACAGCTAGAAAAAACCTCAGCCTGCCCATAAAACCAGGGAAGTTGTACCACTTCTGGGAGAAGCTGACTTGCACCCTGCATTGGTTCAATTTTCTCACTGTAAGGATACCTGAGACAGCTACTTTATAAAGAAAAGGGGTTTATAATGCATGACATTTGTATACCTTAAATAAAAGGTCTCTGGGGGAAAAAGAAGTTTATTTTGACTTGCTGTTCTGACCCAAGGTCAAGGGGCTACATCTGGGGGCAATTTGCTGGCAGAGTCCAGGGCAGCACAGGGCATCACGTGGCAAGAGGCAGGGAAAGTGCACACGTGTGTCTCTTCTTATAAAGCCACTGGTGTTCAATCACGAGGCCCCACCCCGATGATCCTAACTGATCCCAGTCACACCCTGGAGACCCCAACTCTTGTCACCATAGTCAGAGCAGCTTTCCAACCCACTTAATATCTCACAATAGAAATCAAATTTCAGCACGCAGACCCTTGGGAACAAACTTGAATACACAAGACAGTCTAGCCCGTTTTCTTGAACCTTCTCATTGCAAAGAGAACACAGACAAGGGAGACAGGGCAAAGTGCAATGCCCTCTGACATGAACAACCAGCAGCTCTGTAAACAAACAAAAACTAGAAGACACCTGTGACCCAAAGATTCAACTCCCAACCCGAAAACAGCCCCTGAAAGCAAATCCTGTGTGCGTGTCACTCAAGGACAAGAACTTTCTCTGACTTAGGGCTGGGAGGGCATGGACAGTGCTAGCTCAGCTTAAGCTCATATCAGATAAAGCCCACGTAGGAAAATGCCTAGGACTTACTCATAGACACTTGGGATCCCTGTACCTTCAAACTATACCATTATTTTCTTTTACAAAATAAAATAAGACTTTGCTTACCAAGACAACCTGCCGTGTCTTCCGTTTGGTAGTCTGTATGAAATTCAAGAACTTCCTTGAATAGTTATTTCATTGGTAATCAGTGTTGAAAAAAGCTCTTTTACGCCATCTACAGACTACCACTGGAATTACATTACACAGTTCAGTATGATTTTTTTCTTCCCTTGCAGATGTACAATAGGGTCTGTGAGTTCACTGATAGACTCGTACTAAGGTAGAATTATGTTTTTATGGTTCTGTATTTCATTACAGCCACTCCCTGCTATCTACACTAACGAAATCCAGGAAGAGGTGTAACGAGCTATAGATCATCACTGGGTTTTGCAACGCTTACCCTTGTAGCTGTGCTGGCTGAGTGTGCGTGTGTTTTGGCTGCTTTGCTTTCCCTCTTGCCTTTTGATTGGCCCACTATTAAAAGTGACTGAGAGGCCGGCGCCGTGGCTCACTAGGCTAATCCTCCGCCTTGCGGCGCTGGCACACCGGGTTCTAGTCCCGGTCGGGGCGCCGGATTCTGTCCCAGTTGCCCCTCTTCCAGGCCAGCTCTCTGCTTGGCCAGAGAGTGCAGTGGAGGATGGCCCAAGTGCTTGGGCCCTGCACCCCATGGGAGCCCAGGATAAGTACCTGGCTCCTACCATCGGATCGGCGCGGTGTGCCGGCCGCGGCGGCCATTGGAGGGTGAACCAACGGCAAAGGAAGACCTTTCTCTCTGTCTCTCTCTCTCTCATTGTCCCCTCTGCTTGTCAAAAAAAAAAAAAAAAAAAAAAAAAGACGCTGCTTGGGACACGCATGTCCCATATCAGAGTGCCTAGCTTTGAGTCAGGCTCTGCTCCTAACTCCAGCTTCCTGTTGACTCAGATGCTAGGAGGCAGCAGGTGATGGCTCAAGTACTTGGGACTCTGCCACCCACATGCAAGACAGGGAGACCCCTGTCGCTCCCCGTCTTCGTGGAGGAACGACACAGGACCCTGCGCTGTTCTTTCGTCTGCTCGGCCCTTCCCGGGTTTGCTGCTGGTCCTTCCCGGGTTGGCTACTGGTCCTTCCCGGGTTGGCTGCTGGTCCTTCCCGGGTTGGCTACTGTCCCTTCCACCTCCGTGGAAGGGCAGTTCCCTCTGCCACATTCCCCACTTCCGCGGGGGAGCGGCACACCGCCGGCCGGCTCTCTCGGGGGCTGCACAGGTGTTCCCCTTAGATGTTCCTGGTGCATGCCGTCTCTCTCCTCCTTTATAGTCCTCCTCCGCCAATCCCAACTCTGCTACCCACACGCCGAGTACGCTGCTCTCCTCCAATCAGGAGCAGGTCCCACAGTTTATTGGTTGAACTGGAGGCAGCTGTGTAGAAGCTGTTTCCCTTCTCAGCGCCATATTGTGGGAAAGCAGATGCATAGAATAAGTCTTAATTCCAGTAACTTAGTCTAGTCCGAGTTGCTCCCAGTTGCTCCCCACAGCCCCCAGTTTTGGCCTGGCTCAGCCCTGGTTGGTGCAGATATTTGGAGAGTAAGCCAGCAAGTGGATAGGAGGTGCCTCCCTCCCACCCCACTTTTCAAATAAAATAAAAATCTTAAAAAAGTTTAAGTAAAGAGCAAATATGCAAATAAAGCTAAGGAATGCCAACTGTCTGCCTCTGAAGTTGTCCTTGGCCTAGTACTACGTGGTACCCAATGTGCAGACACCCAACTGTCTCCCTGCACGACTTTGTCCTGTAAACAGCTTCTCCGCCACATGGCACATGAGCCCAGCTTTCCTACACAAGAACCCTGGGATTCTTTGAAACAGAACATTCTCTCTGTTTCCCCTGACCTCAGAATTTGTTGAATAGGGGAAATATGTCTTTCAGTAACTTTCCGAAACTGAAAGAGAAGCATCGCCCGCCCATCAGCTCTAAGACCCATGACTGGAGATGAGGACGCTCTGTGGCTTGTGGCTGCCCGCGGCGTTGGCTGCGTGATTTCAGGCCTAGAGGGTGAGGCCCAGGGAGGAAGCGTGCAGGGCAGAAGGCAACACCGCTGGTGCTCCGAGTCCTGTGTTTCCCTCCAAGCTCTTCCCTGGCACTCGGAGTTGCCCTTGGGCCCCAGTGTTGGAGTGATGGCATCTTTAAGAGGTGGCGCTCAGTGGAAGGGGGTCAGGACCTGGGGGTGCCACCCCCCAGGAGGGATTCACGTAGCTCCCAAAAAACTAGGCTGGCTCTCACAAAAATGAGTTGCTATTGAGCAAGGGACCCCATCGACCTGACCCCTTCTGCATACAACTCTTTTCCTTTTTATTTCTGCACCATCTTGCGACAGAACCAAAAGACCCTCATCTGAGGTCAAACAGATGAGACTGCCCAACCTTGGGCTTTTAACCACCAAAACTAAATAAACCACTTCTCTACGCGTTACCCAGCATCAGGGATCCTGTTAAACACAGCTCATAATGGAACAAGATAGCATCTAGGCACAGCCGCATCTGCCCCCTCCAAGGAAAAACTTTAATTCTCAGACACTTTGGCTTCTTTTGAAAATATTTTATCCAAAGTATTTTTTCAATATGCAATCAATATAAAAATGAATATAAAATTGCAAATGAGATAGCTGATCCGTTTTTTTCCATTCTAAGTCTTCAAAATCCAGGGTGCATTTTGCATTTACAGTACATCTCAGTGGGGCTGCCCCACACTGCTGGTCACATGTGCTGCCCGAGGCAGGTCTAGGTGCAGTTAGCACAGCCTTGCAAATAAGCACAAGTTCAAGTCCATTGAACAGCGGCCCAAAGAGCTAATTCAAATGAAAGGTTTGTGTGTTACTCTGTAGGCAAACCCCTACTTCTCTCCATAGCAGCTTCTCTACCTAGCCCATACCCAGGCATTCCTTTTTGGATCCAGGACAATATAAATATGCTGTCCTTTTAGGTGTGATCTGTCGTGAGTTGAGTTTTTTCCAACAGCTTTATTGAGATCCTACTCACATACCATAAAAACTTCACTCAAAGTGCACAGTTATTTTGGGTATATTCAGAATTGGGCAGCTATCACTACAACCAAGTCCGATGATTTTCACTGCCCTAAAAAGCAGCACTACATCCCTTCTCCCTCACCCTCCACTTTCCATGTGCCCCAACCACAGGCAACCACTAATCCACTCTGTCAGTTATAAAAACCTCTGTAGAGCTGTTCTGGATATTTAATGCAAATGTAATCATACAGGATATGGCCCTTTGTAACTGACTTATTTCACTTAGGATAATATTTTTATGGTTCTCCCATGTGTACAACCAGATTTCTTTTTTAAGTTGCCACATCATTTTGGTGGTATACACCTACCACATTTTATTTATCCATTCATAAACCGATGGACATTATGGCTGCTAGTAATGTTGCTATGAATACTCACAAACAAGTTTTTGTGTAGACGTTATTTGCTCTTGGGTATGGTAATCCTGCCCCACCTTATTCATCAGAAATATATTCTTTTTTTTTTTTTTTTTGGACAGGCAGTGAGAGTGGACAGTGAGAGAGAAACAGAGAGAAAGGTCTTCCTTTTCTGTTGGTTCACCTCGCAGTGGCCACTGCGGCCGGCGCACTGAGGCCGGTGCACTGCGCTGATCCAAAGCCAGGAGCCAGGTGCTTCTCCTGGTCTCCCATGCGGGTGCAGGGCCCAAGAACTTGGGCCATCCTCCCATCGGAAATATATTCTAAGACCTCCAGAGGATGCCTGAAACCACGGGTAGTGCCAAATGCTATAATTACTATGTAATATGCATACATATGTGTACATATGGACCTAAGATAAAGTTTAATTTTTAGTTATGGCAAGAGATTCACAATAGCAGCTAATAGTAAAATAGAACAATTGTAGCAATATATTGTGAGAGTTATATGAATGTGTGCTTGCTTGCTTGCTCTCTCTCTCTCTGGAATTTTCCACGTAGCAGTTTCATACCATGGTTACTGAGACCCAGAGGAGTGGATGAGGAGAGACTACCAGACTTGCACAGCCCTAGGAGAGAGACTGCTGCCCAGGATGGGAACTCTCCCGTTAGCCTGTTGAGGAACTGCCAGACGATTTCAAAGCAGTTAGACAATTTTACATTCCTATCAGCAACGTACAAGGTCTCATGTCTCCACATCCTTACTAACACTTATTATCTGAGGGGTAGAACCATCCTACTAGCTGTGAAGTGGTGCATTATTGTGGTTTTGATTTGCATTTCCCTGATAGCTACGATATCAAGCATCTTTCCAAGTGCACTGGCCATTTGTATGTGTTTAGAGAAATGTCTCCTCAGAGCTTTTGCCTATTCTTTAATTGCCTCACCTGTTTAATTACAGGCTTGTAAGAGTTTTTATATATTCTAGATACAAATTTCTTACTAGACATATAAATTTAAATTTTTTCTCCTATCTTGAGTGTCAGTCTTTTCACTTTCTTGAGGAAACTTTTCAAGTATGAGGACTTTAATTTTGATGAGGTGCAACTTATCTCCTTTTTTTTTTTTTTTTTTTACATTTTAAGCTTTTGTTTAGTAAGAAAGATGCATAAGAGAGTGAGAGTTCTATTTAGGGGAGAGAGGTGAATAGGGGTTCATACCGAGCACCAGGAACCAGCCACGTGGATGAGCATCTAGGCCAGGAAGCCTAGAGCACATGGCCCGAAGGCCATGCGCCCTGGAGGCGCAGGGCTACAGCAAGCCCCCTCCTGGCAAGAGGCTAGGGAAGAAGAGCAGGGCAAAGGCCCTGGCACACTGTGCCCCAGGCTTTTAACCCACTCCAAAGGGGAGTGGTTAATTAACCTGATTGGCTGGTGGGCATCCCGGTGTGGCCAGGTAGGGGAGTGAGGCCACACAGGGGCGTGTCAAAGGCATCAGGTAGGAGCATGAGGTCACACAGGGGCGTGGTCTTCCAGTTCACAAATCTGATCAATTTTAACCTGTTTGCCTGCCTACTTCATTCCCCCCTCAGAGACTCCAGACCTTAATCTCAAGGGGATGTTGATGGGTGTCGAGTCTCCATCTTCTGTAGCTACTTCCTGCTGATTAAGGGCGCAGACCCTGCCTGTTCTCGGTCTGGAAGTCTC